GTCATCCGGCATTGGTGATGGCTCATCTTTACAACCTTCAAGCAGCTGTCGCCTGTGACTCATGGGGCCGGACTTGTCGCGAGAACTGCATACAAAGCGTTGAATCCTCCATCGCGATTACAGACCACCTCTTGCTCTTCCGTGGCAGGTTGGTGCACTACACCTCTGACACGTGCCGAATCAAGATCACCCACCGATATGCACAAAAGTTTGAACATGCTGGCAAATCTAAGTGCTTCCAGCCCTTTAAGGATTCCTAAGAATGACCCAATTGTAGTATAGGGTACTCTTTGGGGGTTCTGCTTCTTTGGATCCTCCCAGTGGTCTGGGTACACCCCACCCTAAACCCTTAACCCTTGAACCCTAAACCCTACACCCTAAATCCTAAACCTTAAACCCTGATTCCTTTCACTGCTTAGGGTTTCGGGGCAAGCAGGATGTCGCCACTGTCGACAGCATGTACGACAAGTACGACATCCCCTACGACACGATCTGGCCCAGTTCTCATGCATGCTGTAGGGTTTCGGGTTTAGGGGGATTAGGGTTTAGGGTTTAGGGTTTAGGGTTTAGGGTTTAGGGTTTAGGGTTTAGGTGCCGATGTAGAACTCTACATCTGGGGGTATCATCGAGGTTTTGGCTCCCTCAACTCCTGCTTGTAGGGCTGCTGCATGGGAGGGCCCATGCATGGGGTGTGGAGTTTAGGGCTAAACCCTAAACCCTAAACCCTAAACCCTAAACCCTAAACCCTAAACCCTAAACCCTAAATCCTAAACCCAAGGCTGTCTGGGTTTTGGGCTTAGATTTTTAGGGGCTTCGCATGTCCTCGTCCCTGACCTCCCTGCCGCAAAGGCTCGACATCGAACACACCGATGGCAAGGCGTACTTCTCGCAGCAGCCTCACAGTGCATGGAAACAAGTCGGGAGGAGCTTGCAGGGGCTTGTGATGAAGCAAAAAAGCCCTGAACCCTAAACCCTAAACCCTAAACCCTAAACCCTAAAGCTGTCTGAGCCCTGGACCACCCTAAGCCTTAACAGCTCAAGGGATTGTACCCTTGGGTTTAGAGTTTAGGGTTTAGGGTTTAGGGTTCAGGGTTTAGGGTTTAGGGTCTAGGGTCTAGGGTTTAGGGTTTAGGGTTTAGGGTTATACTGTACCTTGGACCCCTAAGGTTGTACCCTTGGGCTTGGGGACCCTTTTCAAAGATTCCTGGCAGAATATAATAAGGGTCATGTTTAGGACCCCTAAACCCTAAACCCTAAACCCTAAACCCTAAACCCTAAACCCTAAAGAGTAGATTCAGGGGAACCTTAAGGGGTACTACCTTAGGGGTACGAGTCTCAATCCCTTGATCCACAGCTGAAGGTGGAACGCTGCTGCCTTCCCGAACCCGAAGCAGATGGCGCGGCCCCTAGGGTTTAGGGTTTAGGGTTTAGGGTTTAGGGTTTAGGGTTTAGGGTTTAGGGTTTAGGGTTTAGGGTTTAGGGTTTAGGGTTTAGGGTTTAGGGTTGCCCCGAGTGGGTTTCAGTACTTATGCCGCGGCTTTCAGCCTTCATTTGGAGTTTGGGGGGCAGCGCTTTAACCTCAGCTTCCCAAACCTTCCCCCCAAGGACCTCAACCTCAAGCCTGAACCCTAAACCGTTTGTTGAACTTGCACCTCCAAAACCATCGCCTCAACATACAGACCCAATCATCTACAGCCCCATTCGGTTATAAAATGTACAGATTGGGGCCTCACGGACGCACCCCCCCAAACCTACCTTAGAGCAACCCATATACTTTTACAGCAAAAAAGGGGCCTACGCCTTCACTATTCGGTGCTTGTACGTGTTTTAGGGCGTTGGGGCCACTGTGAACCTTAAAACTCTAAGCCCTAAACCCCCAAAACTGCCTGGCCCCCCAACCTTGAGAACAAACCCTAAACCCTAAACCCTAAACCCTAAACCCTAAACCCTAAACCCTAAACCCTAAACTCACCGAAAGACGGCCCTTGCTGAGATTGACAGCATCTCAGCAAAGAGACGGAAGTTCGTCAATGTGGTTGACCCCCACATCAAGAAGGAGTGGGGCTGGGATTGCATATAGGGTTGAGGGTTCAGTGCATTTTGGTTGTTCGCTGCTGGACTTATCTCATGACTTCTACTCTCTAGGTTGTCTGATGGTTTTCAGAGGTCTTGGGGAAAGGGTTTAAGGTTTAGGGTTTAGGGTTTAGGGTCTAGAGTTTAGGGTTTAGGGTTTAGGGTTTAGGGTGTACGTAAAGGTTCATACTTTGAGGGTTCGGTTACCGTACGTTTCAGGGGGGGGCTACACAAGGTCACAAGGAGGACTAGCCATAAGTGGCGTAACGCAAGGGCCCTAAATTGGAGAAGCTCTTGCGACTTAATTTGTAAGTCTACTCAGTATCCCCTACAAACCCCGATTGCAATCCCCATAGCCCACCTTACTAGCCCTACTTACCAAGTCGCCAGGGCTACCAAGTAATTGGGTTACAAGTCCCCTAAACCCTAAACCCTAAACCCTAAACCCTAAACCCTAAACCCTAAACCCTAAACCCTAAACCCTAAACCCTAAACCCTAAACCCTAAACCCTAAACCCTAAACCCTAAACCTCAACTACAGTTCGCATATTTAACGGAAAGCCCGAATCCGTAAGCTACAGTTCGTAGTAGAAGGCCCCTGCCTTGCACCCTACACCCCAAACTTAGGGTTTAGGGTTTAGGGTTTAGGGGTTAGGGTTTAGGGCCCTAACCCCAAACCCCAAGCCCTTAATCCTAAACCCCAAACCCTCAACCCTCAATTGAGCCACGCGAACCCTGCACAAGGGCTCAGGACCTGGGACTGCGGGTTCAAGGGCTTAGGATCTGTTGCTATAGTCTGTAGCGTTTCGGAGTTAGGGGTTTAGAACCCTAAACCCTAAACCCTGAACCCTGAACCCTGCACCCTGAACCCTGAACCCTGAACCGTGTAGTTGGAGTGCATCGGGTTTTAGGGTCTACAGGCTAGAAGGGCTGAAGGTTCAGGGCCTTGTTGCAGGAGGAGAAGTTCCACGTCTACCGTGAGGCCACGGGATCGAGGGCTTGGGAATCATGACCCAGAGGGTCCAGATGTAGTACTATTATGAAAGGAGGTACCCCTAAACCCTAAACCCTAAACCCTAATAGTACTACCTATGGACCCTCTGGTCAGCGAAGGCGGTGCTTCCCGGATCCTTGTGGAGCGGCCGAACTCTCTTTAAGGGACTTCTTGGGGTTTAGGGTTTAGGGTTTAGGGCTTAGTGTTTGGGGTTTAGGGTTTAGGGTTTAGGGGTTCAGGGTTTGGGGAATATCCGGCGCTCAAAATCGTAGCTTCAAGGTCATCAAACGGTTGGCAGGACTTCTGGGGGGACTCGGAGCTTCTGACTTTGCCCCAAACTGAGGGTTTAGGGTTTAGGGTTTAGGGTTACTTGAGTTCAATCCCAGACCCCAAAAAGCCCTGCACCTTCGGCCACACCACGTCCCCTAAGCCTTAAACCTTAAACCTTAAACCCTAAACCCTAAACCCTAAACCCCCAAAACGAGGTCCGGGACAAAGGCCTCTTTGTCAAGAAGGTCAGCTACAAGCAGATGGACGATCCTACCGATGTGCGGTGGCCGAGACTAGGGTATGTAAGGGGTATACGTAGGGACCCCTGGGAGATCCCTAATCTTATTCTCTAAATAACCCCTATATAACCCAACCCTTGTATAGACCTTATATATGTCCCCATAGACCTAAGTAGCTCCCAAATAACCCCCAAAGAACCCCTAAGGTCCCTTATATTCGGTAAACTTCGATTCAACCCTGGCCCTAGCAAAATCCCTAAACCCTCAACCCCAAAACCTCAACCCTCAACCCACCACCCCTACCGAGCCTTTCACCCCTACGCCCTAAACCCTCAACCCTAAGCCCTAAACCCCAAACCCTAATCCCCTAAACCCCTAAACCCCAAACCCTAAACCCTAAACCCCAAACCCTAAGCCCAAAGGCCAAGCCGGCCGACTGGGTCGAGGAAGCCAAGATTGCGGACCCTAGCGCCTCGCAGCCGCCCGAAGCTGGGCAGGGCTTTCATTTATTGTTTAGGGTTTAGGGTTTAGGGTATATGAGGGTTTCATAGGGTTTCATAGGGTTTATGTGGTTTATATGGTTTGTAGGGTTTATAGGGTTTATAGGGTTTGTAGGATTTACAGGATTTATAGGCATCATGGGTTGATATAGTTTATGGGGTGTATGGGGTTTATGGGGTTTATGGGGTTTATGGGGTTTATGGGGTTTGTAGCGTTTATGGGGTTTAGAGGGTTTAGGGTTTATAGGGTTTGTAGGTGTTAAGGGAGTTTTTTGGGGATGTCATATTTTGAGTGTTTTAGGGATTCTTGGGGTTTTCAAAAGTTTCACGTTTTGGAGACCTTTTGGGATTTAGGTTATAGGGTTTCGCAACTTCTGCGTTTGTAGCGGAAGGTGTTTTTTGGGCTGAGGGTTTATTATGTTTCAGGCCTTCGTTGTGGTTTGCTAAAGTTTGTGCTCATGGTTTGGTAAAGGTTGTGCTCATGGGTTGGGCCCTCGACACCCTAAGCCCTAAACCCTAAACCCTAAACGTACAGTACTGTGTACATAATTCTATACTATGGTATGTGCTTGCTGTATACTGTACATTACGCTGTACCTATTTGCAAAATCTCTTACGCAGTAAATCACTTCGTGTATAGTGTGTGTGTATGTACATATATGTATATATATATATATATATATATGTGTGTGTGTGTGTGTGTTTCATATTTGCAGAGCATATGCTTTTGCAAGCATGCGCCTCACGACATTCTCCGGTGCTGCAGTACGAATAAAAAGACGACTCGTGCCTCTCACCACGCGCCCGAGTTTGGCGATGTGGCAAAGTTGCGACACGAAGTATACATTCTTCCATGTCCGTTTCCACTGTGGAATGCGGAATGCGGGGAAGATGATCCACGCCGGCCTCGACAGACTGCCTGCAATGAGGAGCACACAGGCGGAGGAGTCGCAGACGCCCCGGAGCCTGCGAATCCCCGCAACAGCCAGGATGTGAAACCTTCGGAGCATCGCGAAGCTACCAAGTTAGCAACAAAAAATGTCGGGCCTTTCTCGCAATATATTTGCCGTCGCATTCTTTTTGTTTGTTTCGCAGAATCTTGCGCGGCCTCGATTCCTTAAACGCCTCATGCTCATAGTCCTTAGTAGGGATGATCATAGGGATCATAATATGGATTATAATCGGGATTCGACTGGGGATTCTAATAGGGATGGGGCACTAGAATCCCAATCAAGGACTGTTCGTAAAAGGGGGAACATCCCAACCCTAAACCCTCAACCGGTTTCCCTCAGCCCCCCCAATGGTCCCTTAGTATGGGCCCTGAAAAGGGTTCCCCTTACATGCCCTATGCGAAATCATGGCCCTTACATCAGAACCCTTTCAAGAGGGTCAGGGACCATCTTAAGGCCTATAAACCTAAACCCTAAACCCTAAACCCTAAACCCTAAACCCTAAACCCTAAAAACCCCAAAACCCAGTCCTTCAATCGCACGCCACCCGGGCCTAGGAGTGGAATACGGAAGAGGACGGAGCGTGGGTCGCCCCACAGATCGACAACCCCGCCTACAAGGGGGAGTGTCGCTGGCAAGATTGAGGTTTAGGGTTTAGGGTTTAGGGTTTAGGGTTTAGGGGTCAGGGCTAGGGGTTTAGGGTTTAGGAAGGACTAGCCCTAAACCCTAAACCTTGGCTCAAATCTTTCCCGGAGGCTTGTGGTTAGCTTTGGCTCAGGGAGGGGCCGTAAGGTTCAGGGTGTTTTGGGGTTCCCTAAACCTCCTACACTCCTAAACCCTATACCTCCTAAACCCTAGACCCTAGACCCTAGACCCTAGACCCTAAACCCTAAACCCTAAACCCTAAACCCTAAACCCTAAACCCAGCAGTTCCCCTGAGCCAGGTGGAAGCCGAGGAGGGTGAACGACCCCAACCCAGAGCTCTCGGACTTCGAGGGGCGCGGATCCTGGCAGTTCTTCCGGTAGAGGCGTTTTTTAGGATGTTTTTTTGGAGGTTGAGGGTTTAGGGTTTAGGGTTTAGGGTTTAGGGTTTAGGGTTTAGGGTTTAGGGTTTAGGGTTTAGGGTGCATTTTGGGGCCTAGGGTTTAAGGCTTCAGGTTTGTGGATTCACCTCATTGTTTAACAAGCCCAAACGCAATCCCCAAATCAAACAATCAGGCCCCAAAGCTCTAAAGCGATGAAGCCCGAAGGCCCGAAAGCCCGAGTCCTAAAGATCTACAGCTCCAAAGCTCTGAAGCTCTAAAGACTCTAAAGCTCTGAACCGGGTTAGGCTCTTGGCTAGGGATATGGGGTTAGGTTTTAGGGATTAGGGTTTAGGGTGGGTTTGGGGTGTCTTTCGGGATTACATTTTCATGTTCAGGGCAAGGGGGAGTTGGCTCTCCTTTTTGGGTGGCTTGGCGAGGTTTCAGGGTTTCAGGGTCTTCGGGGTTTTGCCTCAAAGAAGCCTTGCCCTTAGGTGGTGTTGGCCTGGAACATCGCTGTATCCCGACTTCACGGTGGCCGTAGCAGCATTTGTTGCCAACTGAGGGTTCGGGCTGCCGCTTCGGAGTTTTAACCGGCGAGTTTGGGCGTTGATTTTGGGATGAGGTGTTGGGGTTCAAGGACCTTAGCACCCCAAGGGGCCTGAACCGCAAGGGGCTTCAAGTCCGGCTGTTCTAAGGAAAGGTCCGCGTTTAGGCAGCTTTCTCACTGAGCCCCTTCGGGAACACAGCTCTCCGGCGAAAGGGGACTAAACCCTAAACCCTAAACCCTAAACCCTAAACCCTAAACCCTAAACCCTAAACCCTAAACCCGAGGTTGCAATCACCCGTGGCATGGCTCAATCTGTGGGCGCCCCGCCCCCGGCCCCCCCCACCCCGCCCCTCCTGCTCAACTACAGTTTAGGGTTTAAGGGCAGATAGGTACATGAGCCCCTGGGGGCTCAAGAAGCCTACCGAGCTGGAGCTCCCGAGGTAGAGTTTTTCTTTGGCAAGATATCATCATGCACGCGAAGCACGCAACTCACTCAACCATTGTCATCAAGGAGAGCTTCTGCGTAGTAGCAATGACTGCAATGGTGCACAGAAATTAAAAACAGACTTGTAACATCAGTTCTACCAATGAAAATGTGATTCTACTGGCACTACTAAACCCTCAACCCAACCCCAAAACCCTAGGTAGGCCCTTGGGACATTTTGAATTTTCCCTTATTGGGTTTGATGTTTTTCAGAGGGTTTTAAGGGCCATGCTAGAACCCCGAAAACCCCCAGCAACAAATCCAAAACAGGATCCCGCGATGCGCGAGTACTGGGGCTCGCAGTTCGCGCTGGACAAGTACACGGGCACGAACGGAGACACCTACATCTGGTCGCTGGGTTGCAGCGCAAGGTTCAAGGTTTAGGGCTTTAGGGTTTAGGGTTGAGGGTTTAAGGGTTTGGTTTCGGGCCACTTGAGGGTTCGGAGTTTAGGGTTTTAGGGTCTTAGGGTTTTAGGGTCTTAGGGGTTTTAGGGTTTCAGGGTTTTAAGGCTATAGGATTTTAGGATCAAGGTTTGTCAAGGTTTCGGGTTTAGGGTTTTCAGGTCTTTGAAGAGGTTCGAAGATTCCCAGAGGTTCCATCTGTAGTACTCCTATGCAGGTTAAACACCTGAGCCGCGACTAAGGATGTTGGTGTGTTTGAACGAATAGGATGAACGGACGCAGCTACTGTTCGGCTTAGGTTCGGGGCCTGGGATTCAGGATGTTGCGCAAGTAGTACTCTGATTCCCCTTTTTACGTTGGCAACCCTATAGCAGGAAATTATTGTACAGTACTTCGTGCCCACAAAACCCCCTAAACCCAAAACCCGAAGCCCTGAACCATTTCCAGAAGTCACAGAAGGTTCAGGATTCATAAGCACTTGGGCACGGTTTCATGGCTCCAGGTACGAACCGCAGATGCTAGGAAGTAGAGCGGGTTTAGGGTTTTGAGCTTAGGGTTCACTGCTTGTCGTTGCCTTGCTATAGATAGCTCCTTGGGATCTTCAGATTTATCTTACGTGCATAGGTGTTGGGGGTGTGTCGCGAGAACTTCTCTTGCGCAAGTCGCTTAGCTAGCCCTGTTGAAAGCCCAAATGGGTCTAGGGTTTGGGTTCATTTATGGTTTACGGCTAAACCCTAAGCCCTAAACCCTAGGCCAGAACCCCTAAACCCTAAACCCTAAACCCTGAACCCTGAACCCTGAACCCTAAACCCTAAACCCTAAACCCTGAACCCTAGGGAGCTTGAGCCATAACAGAGTCTAAGAACCGACCTGGGATCGAACCTGACGTTTACACCTCTTGGGCAATCTCAGTTTAGGGTTTAGGGTTTAGGGTTTAGGGTTGAGTTTCTAGGATCCAGAGTAGGCTCCGCTTTGGGCTTGGGGGGCTGGGGTTTAGGGTTTAGGGTTTAGGGTTCAGGGTTCAGGGTTTAGGGTTTAGGGTTTAGGGTTTAGGGTTTAGGGTTTACGGTTTGAGCTTCAGGGTTTCTTGGGATCCAGAGGAGGCCTTTACTCCTCTTGTTCAGGGTTGAGGTTCCCTTCTACGGCTCGAAGCCCCTTCAAACCAAAAAGGGTTTAGGGTTTAGGGTTTAGGGTTTACTCCTAGGTTACTCTTGGGTCTAGTCTCAGTTTCGAATTTTTCGCTCTTCACATTCGGTGGACACAACTGTGTCCGAATCCAAACCCCTACGGAAGCACCACCTGCATGGACAACCAACTGCAAGGGGTTGATCTGAGTTGTAGTCACCTTTTCGTTCTCTGCTAGAGTCTGCTTATATGAGAAATACGTAACAAAAAAGGGACCACAATTTAGGTCCCCCTAACGCCCAGGAACGACATGAACGAGCCATCCGTCTTCAATGGCCCAGAGGCCTTCTAAGGGTTTAGGGTTTAGGGTTTGAGGCCTTCCAAGGGTTTTGGGTGAATTTAGGGTTTAAGGTTTGAGACCTTCTAAGGATTTTGGGTTTAGGGTTTAGGGTTTGAGGCCTTCTAAGGGTTTAGGGTTTAGGGTTTGAGGCCTTCTAAGGTTTTTGGGTTACGGTTTATAGGGTTTAGGGTTTGAGGCCTTCTAAGGTTTTCGGGTGAGGGTTTAGAGGGTTTAGAGGGTTTGGGTTTAATACCCGGTTGCAAATATCCGAAATCCTAAGCCCCAAAGCCTACCCTCGATAGGCCAGCCTGGCCAATCGTGTTTGCGAGCGCGCGCGCGCGCAGACGTGAGCAGCGGGAGCGCAACACCAGGCTGTTCCGATCTTTTGGGCAGCTTAAGCCCCCAAGCCCGGATCCATCCTGAGTCCCTAAGCCTCACACTCTGACACCCCAATCCTTCTCAAGAAGTTCCACCGTTCAGGGGGGTACTGCCCTCCAAACCCTAAACCCTAAACCTTAAACCCTAAACCCTAAACCCTAAACCCTAAACCCTAAACCCTAAACCCTAAACCCGCCTAATGAAACCCTCAAGGTCGCAGCGCGGGCTTGGGGACCCTTCTTGGAGTGTATCAAGGGTTTAGGGTTTAGGGTTTAGGGTTTAGGGTTTAGGGTTTAGGGTTTAGGGTTTAGGGTTTAGGGTTTGGGGGCTTGGGGGCCCTTCGTGGAATGTATTCAGGCTTTAGGGTCTAGGAGTGGAATAAGGGCACCCTTTCTGGATACATCCTTGGGGGGTACCTTGACACTAGGTACCCTAAACTTTCCTAAACCCTAACCCGAAATCCTAACTAAACCCTGAACCCTAAACCCTAAACCCTAAACCCTAAACCCTAAACCCCAAACCATAACCCCTCAGTGCCACACTCTCCGACCTCAACAGGTGACCATGCCCCGAGATGCCGTTCACCCCAATGGAATGGTCGAGCACCGGGATGTGCACAACATGTGCGCTGCGCTTATGGGGTGTTTGGGGGTTTAGGGCTTAGGGTTTAGGGTTTGGGTTTAGGGTTTTGGGCTTAGGGCTTAGGGCTTAGGATTCATTCGGTTCGTGCCGGGTGTTCCGTGCGGTTATTGTTGATGTAGGGCTCTGGGATTGAGGTTAAGGCGCTGAAGAGCTTAAGGGCCAGTTTCCTTTTTGGGTTCGCTGAGACTCTTCCTGCGCTAGCTAGAATGTAACGGTTTGTTCTGCAAGGTACCAAAGTGCAGCCCAGGGTAAGGCTACAGCTTTATCACTTTACAAGTTTAGGGTTCCTCTAATTTCATATTGAGGGAGCCAAAATTTAGACGTTTGTTGCGGGGTTAAAGAGCAACCAAGAAGACTTCACCAGGTCCCCCGGAAAGTTCTTACACCGTGTTTAGGGTTTAGGGTTTGGGATTTAGGGTTTAGGGTTTAGGGTTTAGGGCAAGCCGTGAGACTTGTCCTTCCCGAGTCTCCAGGCACAGGTAGTATTTGTAGACTTTACGTCCCAGAGTCGGTGTTTTTTCATTTTGGTATAGGGTCTAGGGTTTAGGGTTTAGGGTTTAGGGTTTAGGGTTTAGGGTTTAGGGTTTAGGGTTTATTTCTACTTAGTGCCCCAATCAGGTTTGTCAAAGGGCTACTCAACCCAGACAATCCATCTGTAGGAGCTAGTAGGAAGTAGCTAGCCCAAAGCATTCGGACACCGCTGTCGCTGTAGTGTTGTTTTGCTCCTACGTACTCCTGTTATTGTACTGAGCTGAGTGAGTACACTTTACTGAAAGTGTACATTTTTTGGGGCTTATGAACTCAGCAACTAAGTGTAGCTGACCGTGCTCCTCGGCAAGATGGCTTTTTGGTGAACTACCGGTCAAACAATTCGCCCGAGCTCCAATTACTGTGCTCGGTTGCCACAATGCTATACCTGCTGTTCACAGCCGTTCACAAACTTCAAGTTGTCATTAGTTATGTAAAGAAGCGTGCAGGCCACCGATGATGCCACTTTTTACTCAGGAGCTAGCGCGATCCGTTCACACGTTTTGTGAACCAAAGGTGTCCAAGCAGGCCCAACCAAAGGAAGGTTGCAAAACACAAATGAAATGGCATGCGGATGTCGCGGACCTTGACAGGGGCGATGAATGCATTGAAACTAGCCTGTCCCGCAGAAATTCTTGGTTGTTGGAAGTCTGAGTATCCATGCTAAGGACAAGCGCGACATGTCAAAGAGGCCCGAAGAAAGCTGTCGCGTGAGCTTTCGGGTTTGGGGAGAAGCAGAGCCTTAAACCCTAAAACCCCCAGAGCTCGCCCCAAGCCCCAGCAACTTTGAGCCGCGCGTCGTGAGCATCTCTTAGTCTAGGTTTCGGAGTATGTAACAATAACGTTTTTGAAAGGGCACAGAGTCTCCTACTCGTACTAAGCCTAAAGGGTAAAGATGCGTTGAGCAGATGCTTTGAGCTCAGTAACCCCTAGCCCCCATGCCCTGAAAATTCGCGCAGTTTGTAGCGAACAGGTACGGCTACTATGTCCACCGGGCCACTTTCGAGGGCTTGGCGAAGCGGACGGCCGGAGACAGGCAGTGGGGTTTAGGGTTTAGGGTTTAGGGTTTAACTAGGGTTTAGGGTTGTTAAGTTATTGATTTGTTTGTTTAGGGTTCAAGTTTAGGGTTCTCCTGTGTGCCTGTGCCTTTTTCTCTTCGTGAACTCCGTAGTCAAGGCTCCTTGATACAACCAAGGAGCCCGAAACAGGAGCCCGCTTCGTAAAACAGACGCACGTTTGCAGGGCCCGACCCTGAATGCGACCCTGCCTTCTTGCTAGGGAAGCTCCTCCTGCGCCCAAAGCCCGAAATGCCATTCCCAACGGCCTACGTCGAACCCGAATTCCGTTTCAGGCCCTTTGTGCTGACGCGGTCCTTCTTCATCGGCTCTCACAAGTATAGCGCTATTTGGACAGGTGCGCCAACGCCTTCATGTCAAAAAGCTTTCGCTTAGGATTTCTGGGAGGGGTTGATTTGTATGGGTGCCTATGCAGCCCTATTCTTTCCCTATGCGGCCGTAAGCCCTAAACCCTAAACACTCTCAAGACGATACTGTAATTTCTGGAAGACATATTTGGATGTTTGCGCGTTGTTTATGGTTAGCTTGTGTTTCTTGTGCTGAAACAACAAATGGGTATATTTGGTAATGTGAATTTTGTTGTGGTTCGGGGGCTCCGGCCGTCATGTACAAAGCACATGAACTGGAGCTGAAATTGACATCGCTTCCTTCAGAAAGGTGGGCCTGGTAGATCTCAAGAAGCTGTCGGAACTCTGAATGCCGACACTTTCTGATCTGTACGTCCTGCTTCTGCATTGAAAAACAACCTGTCAACCTCGTGTTTGTGTGCAAAAACGCTGTATCACGATTACTGGTATTAACCGGACGGCAATGTTGACAGGGACAAGCGATTAGCACCGGCTAAGCATTCATTTGGGTAGACCTTATTCCATTGCAACCAAGAATGAGGTACCAGCTTTGGGGTCTGACATAGGAGAAGTACGGGCGAGCAATGGTTTGGGGGGTTTAGGGTTTTGGGTTGGAATGCATTTTGCTCCTGGCTTCCAAAACAATGAAAAACCTTCAGCTCCCGAAACCCTAAACCCTAAACCCTAAACCCTAAACTCTAAACCCTAAACCTCTTCATGGCAGGAGACAACTATGCCCAGTGGTCGCACCTGAAAGCATCCATTGCGATGGTCGGGGGCCCGATGCGCTAGCTCAGCCTTTTTTAAGCACGTGCGCTTCAGGGAATGCAGTCCCCCGATGTGCCCAGGGAGCCCAATACCCCCAAACCCTATACCCTTGAGCGCGCTCATCGCCCTCAGCCGGTACTAAAACTACCTACAGGTAGAACATACACGTCCCTCGAGGCTGAACCCTCGCAAAAAGCCACCACACTCCAACCTAGACCCTAAGACCCTGAATCTCTGGGACTGATAGCATGGTTTACTACACCCTACACCCTAAACCCGAAACCCTAAACCCTAAACCCTAAACCCTACAACACCCCAAAGCCCTACGCAAAACACGTACGAGAGGTCGGTGCCCTCACGCTCGGTGGCCAGTCTCTGGTCGGAGCGGCCACTTGGAGGAAACTGTTTAGGGTTTAGGGTTAGGGTTTTTGATTTGGGGTTTAGGGTTTAGGGTTTAGGGTTTAGGGTTTAGGGTTTAGGGTTTAGGGTTTAGGGTTTAGGGTTTAGGGTTTAGGGTTTAGGGTTTAGGCTCTAAACGGTTTAAAGGGTTGCAAGGGTAGTTTTCGGAGATTCAAACGGGGTTTAAGTGTTTTAAGTTGTTTAAAGGGATCTAAATGGGCTTGTTAAGGGGCTAAAGGGTTAGAGGGTTTCAAGGGGCTTTGAGGTTTTACATTGGGGTGTTCTCCTAATACTAACGGTCCTTACTTAATCGGGATTATAGCACCCTCAATTACAATCCCGATCCAGGAGCTGTTAGTATAAGGGGGAATATCCCAACCCTAAACCCCAAACCCCAAACCCTCAACAGGTTTCCCCTCAACCCCTAAACCCTAAACCCTTGAATTTTACGGGGTTCAAAGGCTTCGTTGAAGGTTCATGGGTCATAGATTCTGAGGGCTCAGACGCCCAGCAATCTGGGGGTTTCCGACAATAGGGGTGCCCTTCTTAGGGGTGTCTTTGAGGGGATTCCATTCTATTTGGAGTCGAGTATGAAAGGCGTACCCCTGTTGTGGGAAATCCCCATATCCTCATTCCCTATTTTTGTGAGTTTTGGGCCTTTAGGATCGTTTTACAAACCCAACCTGAGTTGGGTTTGAGTTTTGGGCCTTTAGGATCCTTTTTCAAACCCAACCTGAGTTGGGCCTGTGCTTTAGGCCTGATCAGGCTCATGAAGCCTTGGGCCCCCCCCTTAAGAACCCAAAACCGCTTTTTGTGGGGATTGCACGGGTGGTTCTCTAAATCTCTAAAACCCTAAACCCTAAACCCTAAACCCTAATTCTCTAAGTTCAGGTCCCTTTTCGGGTCCTTTTATATAGTACGGCACCCTTACTACCCACATCTTCGGATTGACGTGCCTCTTGCGTTGCTCGTGGGACTCTACCTCTACCTTGGACCCCTATGGTTGTTGCCTCGGGTTTAGGGACCCTCCTTAAAGATATCCTCTAAGGGAGTAGGGTTTAGGGTTTAGGGTTTAGGGTTTAGGGTTTAGAAGGGCCATATCAAGAGCAGATTCAGGGAACCTCTTAGGGGCACATCCTCCGGGGTCAAAGTATGACTCCCTTGAGCGCGGGGGGACACCTCTGGCTCCTCCCCCCTCACGCCCTTGTCTGTGGTACTTAGGGTTTCGGGCTTCAGGGTTAAGCACCCTAAAGCCTACAACCCGAACCCAAATCCCTAAACCCTAAACTGGCCCTAAACCCTGGTTTCGAGGCTGAGTCGTTTCCTGGGTTGTGCTTTGGGATAATTGTTAATTTCCCTTCTTGCCTTATAAGGGAACCGATTCAGAAATAATTTCCAAAGCGCTTGAAGCACAACCCAGTTGTAGACCCTGAATGCCCCCAGACCCACTAAGGATGTGGGTGGCTTCTTCAAGCATCCAGATGCGGAGATGACGGTGAGATGGCAGTCTGCCTCATCAGTCTAGGGGTTTTGGAGATTTGGGGCTTGTAGGGCTTTGGGAAGCATCACTAGATTTGTATATTTATATATAGGTATCTATGCAAATAAAGCATTACTAATTCCTTCCTTCAGGAATTTTCCCGAAAGACATGTCCAGATCCCTGTTTTATTGGGCAACACGTTCACGAAAACGGGTTTTCGGGTTTAGGCATGTGCGGCCGGTGCAGTTTCTCGGAGGCTTTCTACTCAGCTTCGAAGCTACCAACATAATACAGCGGTCGGAATAACTACCAATAATATACACGAATCCCCCAAAACCGTATTCTAATTATCATGCCCCTACATTATCATGTGTTGACGACTCCTCGAGCATCCATGCTATCTAGCACCTATGGCTTTAGGGTCTATGGCCTGAATGCAACGCAAATAAACCCTATACCCTAAGCAAAAAGGCGAAGTGTTTTTTTGCCTTTGTGTTTTCTGCTGGGGGTTGCATGACCCTCCAGGTATTCCTAAACCCTCCTAAACCCTAAACCCTAAACCCGAACCCTAAACCCGAAACCCTAAACCTTCCCAAACCCTAAACCCTAAACCCTAAACTCTCCCAGGTATCAAGTCGCAGTCTTGATATACCCTTTCCTCCGAAACCATGCGCATCTGGAGGCCGACTGAAGCTGAGGGACTTCGGGGACCCTAAACCTAAACCCTAAACCCTAAACCCTGAACCCTAAACCCTAAACAGCCAAGAACATCGGAGCTTGAAGGAACTTAGACGAGACCCCAAGGGAGGGGTGAATAGGGTTCAGGGCCGACCTAAACCCTATAAGCCCTAAAGCCCTAAAGCCCTAAACCCAACCCTAAGCCCTGAACCGTAAAGCCCTAGACCCTAAGCCCTGGACCCTCAACCCCTGGACCCTAAAACCCAAACCCAAACCCAAAGTTGTGGATTAAAAGAGGGCTTTACTGGGAAGCTTTTCTGACTTTGTAAGTCTACATCGTGTCCCCTAGAAGCCCAGCTATAATCCTGGGGTAGCCCGCCTGACAAACCTTAAACCCTGAACCCTAAACCCTAAACCCCAAACCCTAAACCCCAAACCCTGCTGCACCTTACTTACTAAGTCAACAGGGGCTTCCAAGTGCGGGTTCTAGGAGTTCTGGAATTGACTAAAAGTACGTGGATGTCCCGCGATGGAAGGCAAGCTGTGGTGTGGGGAGCTGTTCTGGGCAGCTTTCAGGGTTTAGGGTTCAGGGTTTAGGGTTTAGGGTTTAGGGTTTAGGGTTTAGGGTTAGGGTTTAGGGTTTAGTGTTTAGGGTTTAGGATGTTCCCCCTTCTACTAACAGTGCCTATGAATAGGGCTAGTAATAGCTGGTACTATAATCCCTAGTAAGGACTGTTCCTATAAGGGGCAACATCCCAACCTATAAACCTTACACTCCAAACCCTAGGGTTTAGTGCTTGGCGTTTAGGGTTTATAGGCTTTAGTTTGAGGAACCCTCCCGCCCTTCTTGTTTGCAGCCTATTGTTGAGGTGACGGTCCTTTCGTAGGGCATCCTAGTGCCAGCCACAACCGGAGTACCAGAGGCTATCTGCGTTACCCCGCAGCCGCAAAATAGCTAGGACCGGACACGTCACAAGTCGATGGAACAGATGTCCTCACATTGGGAGTGTAGAGGAGCTTAGGGTTTGGATGTGTAGGGCTTGGGTTTTATAGCAGCACCAAAACTCAAGCGTAGTCTTTGCGATGCAGCCGGTTGATCTAGAATATGGGCATGTTGGGCTTTCCATTTTAGTTATGTCAAGGTCTAGGGTTGAGGGTTTACGGTTTTCAATTTAAGGTTTAGGGTTTAAGATCAACCCCCAGCATGCGTATTTATGCCCATTCCCTGTGGTCAAGCCGGCTCGGACGGGCTTTGGGGTTTCAGGCTTTCATTGTCGGGCCCATCTATTTCGATTGTGTATCTTGGTTTTTCGGGAGTATGCGAAAGCTAGCCTGCCCTACTGCGCAATTTCCGAAACTATATGCTCCAAACCCGACAACCCCTCATTATACCCCCAAACCATGCCAAAAGCGATTCTCGATATAAGACCCAAGAATCCTCGACCCTAAACCCGAAACCCTAAACCCTAAACCCTCCTGAATCGAGAATCCCCTCGACTCTCTTTGGCCAGACACCGCGCCGAGAGCCCTACGTCTTCGACGAGCCGACGATGCTCCGGATCAAGACGTCGCTGCAGATGAGGCGGACTAGGGTTTAGGGTTTCGGGTTTAGGGTTTAGAGTTTAGGGCTAGGGTGTTGGGTCTTTTAGGGTGTCTTACTACTCTTTTACTTAAGAAGCCCCCCAAAAAAACATAAGATTATTCCTCCTTATCAGGGAAAGACAGAGATTATTATCTTACATGTTTTGGGGGGTTCTTAAGAAAATAGTAGCCTAGGGGTAGGAGTTTAGGAGAGTTCAGGAGTGTGGCTAAGAGGGCGTTTTGTCAGGAGCTTATAGAGGCTTGGCAAGGGTTTCAGGATTATGGGGGAATTTCGGGTTTAGGGTTTGGGGTTTGGGGGTTTAGGGTTTAGTCCGAGGATTTGGCATCTTCATGGGGCTAGATCTGACGTTTTGTTGCGCATGTCTCTGCAGCTGTTCTTCCTCCTCCCGTAACCCTAAACCCTAAACCCTAAACCCTAAACCCTAAACTCAAAAACCCTAAACCCTAAACAGCAAACCCCAGACCCCTCACCTGCGCAGCTGCACAGAATGTACGACATAGGCAGAGAACAATGGTTTTGGGTTTGGTGTGTTGGCGCTGTGCCGATGAAGGTTGCAACACCAGCTCAAACAGAGCGACATGAGTTGCAATAAAAAGCCCCTATATTCACCTTGCACCCCTAAGCTTTCTCCCTGAGTTGTATTCGCACATGTTCTCAACGATTATTCGGCGTCCAGCCACGCGCTCTTTCCTGAACTGATCTGCGAATCTCAAAACACCCTGATCCCCACGGACGAAATCTCGCAAGCTCAAGTCATACAATCCCAAAACTACCATCGTCCGCAGAGATGTCAGCAGTCAGGTACCGAATGCTGCCGCTGTGGTACACGCTTCTCGGCGGTCAAGGTTCAGATTAGGGCTTGGGGTGTTAGGGTTTAGAGGTCTCACTTTAGGGTTTAGGGCTATCAGTTTAGGGGTTGAGGAGTGCATCAGATTAGGAAAGTCTAAAGATACTAGAATGCTCCTAGTCTCATGCAGCTTTTGCCTTCTTGGTCAGATAGAGATTCTCATCCACAGTGAGCTTTACCTTGTTGGCAGTTATTGTGTCTACATAAGGGCCCCTTTATAGGTGACTTTGTTTTCTAGGGGTTCCCGTATTTTGGAGGGGAATATTCAGGAATTCAGGGGACCCCCTTTTAGGAAATACTCATATTATCCCAGTTATCCCATGTTTAAAAATAAATAATGCCCTACTCAAGGGACCAGGGGGACCCTTATAAGGGACCTTAAGGGGGTATTTAGGGGTTATTTGTGTGGGCTACTTAGGTATATTAGGGCCTACATACGGTATATACAGGGGATATATGGGGGAATAGGATAAAGGGTCCCCTCTAGGGACTCCCTCCCTTTTTTCCCTCAATTGATGTCCAGCAATCCAGCTGGTTGACATGTCCCCGGCGCGTCCACACCCGACATCGGTTTAGGGTTTATGGTTTAGGTTTAGGGTTTAGGGTTTAGGGTTTAGGGTTTAGGGTTTAGGGTTTAGGGTTTAGGGTTTAGGGTTTAGGCTGCATGGTGGACTCGGTAGGCCCAATTGTGACATTTTGTATGTTCCCTTGTTGGGTTTACAGTAAACTCCAGAAAGTTGGAACATGGTTGAAGGATGACTAGAGCTGGGATTCCCTTTAGTATGCCTTTTGGGGTATGGGGACAGGGATGTTCCAACTTTTTGGAGTTTACTGTAAGAGGATCATGTTCAGGGAGCCATCCCAATTGAGCTACCAGTACTTGATGGAAGGAATCTTGGGTTTCCGGCATGGTGCTTTTATCATGGGTTCCCCAACCTCCCTACTCTATTACCCCCCCCCCCCCCCCGTAGGGTTTAGGGTTTAGAGTTTAGGGTTTAGGGCTACACCCCTAGGTTCCCCCCCATAATGAAGGCTATTTAGGGATAGTTAAGCCTAACTAAGGTAATTTAAGGGGGAAGCCGACGAGGGGGGTAGTATAGACGGGGGGGTAGTAGGGAAACCCATGACTTTATGGCCCCTTCATGCGGTCCTTACCTTTGCTAGGGGGTCCTGAATGGGTTTAGGGTTTTGGGTTTTGGGTGTAGGGTTTAGGGTTTAGGCTTTCCAAACCATCCAGGACCCAGGCCAAGGCACATTTACACCTGTTGGTGTGCGTAACCCCTCCCCCAGTAACTCACTGCGCTAAATAGAAGGCCCAGTGCTTGCTGTGGGGTACTCTTCGTAGCCCAGTGGTACCCTTTACCCTTTTTTGGTTCACGGTTCCCTTACAAAAGTAACCAAGCACAAAACAGGGTGCCCCCAATTGTAACATGGCTGCTGGGCTACCAAGTACTTAAAGACTATGCTCGGGACACAGGTACCCTCACCCCTTCTCCCTATAAGCCCGAGACACCGGCGTCCAGCCTTAGGGTTTAGGGTTTAGGGTTTAGGGTTCAGGGTTCAGGGTTTAGGGTTTAGGGTTTAGGGTTTAGGGTTTAGGGTTTAGGGTTTAGGGTTTAGGGTTTAGGGTTTAGGGTTTGCAAGCAAATCAAGCCCGAGGCTCTTCCGCGACTACACGGCCCGAGCAGAGCCCGTGGTACGACCCCTCTTCTGGGACTTCCTGGACCCTGGCAATGGTTTTTTTCAGGTTTCCGGTTGATTCAGGTTGATTCAGGTGTAGGGCTGAGGGTACAGGGTGGTTAGGGCTCAGGGCTGGCTTAAGGGCTCGGGGTTTAATTCGAGGTTCAGAGGTGTTTAGGGTTTAGGGTTTCGGGAGGGGCGGGTGGGGGGGAGTTGCTTACATACTGGTACATGCC